TCGATAAGGTTAGTATTTATTTTTTAAATATTTTAAAAGTGTTCATAAATAAGTGCGCAATTGAATTATTACTTATGATTGCAGGTGTTTATCCCTGTTTTGGAACATAATCATTGGTTTCTCGTCGAGCTTCAGCTCCCATCCCTGAAGATAATAGTATATGACAGCATGATAAATTATATATCATTGTCTGATTTGAGAGATATTATTAAGGGATAGAGCTCTCATTTGGATAAATTCTTGGACGCGATTAATTATTGGACTTATTTTGGAAACAGAAGCCAAAGAAGTTCAATGTTACAGTTATCAGAGACGAGACCGCGCCACAACAAACACAGGGAGCCAGAGGGGATTGTGGTCCTCTCGTATGCATGTGCTTGGAGCGTTTGAGGACAGGAAGTATACAGTTTCTACCTCCCACCGATAGAGATAGAGGTGCAGTAGGCTTGTGGTTTCGGTATTTTATGGCTAGAACGATATATGCGAGACGCTGCCTCCCTGCATCCGCATTATGAAAGTGTCCATAAACAATTAGTAAGTCAAATGTATGTGTTGTTAAGTACCTAGAATTCAATAATTTGGTGTTTATTGGTTTTAGAAGTGTAGAAAGTGTTGTTTGAGCAAATGTTTGGTTTTCTGCAGGTTAATCCTAAAGTGAGCTGCGTGAAATTGATGTATGAGTTCATAAACAACTGTCTGGGGTACACTTTTTTTGATTGTTTAATTGATTCTTAAAAGTTGATTTGTTTAATTGAAGAGGAAAATAAGAATTATTATTATTATTTGCTTATTTAATTGATTGAAATGTAAAAGTTGATTTGTTGAATTCATTCTGCATCATATTGACGACAAAAGACCTGTTGAAGGTACATGTCACTTTCGCAACGCTAAACTCAAAATCGCAATGCGAAAGCCAAAATCGCAATGCGAAAGCCAAAATCGCAACGCGAAAGTCAATTCGCTTTGCGATTTTCGCGTTGCGATAGTCTAATACGCTTTACGATTTTCTCGTTGCGATCGTCAAATTCCCGTTGCGATAATCAAATTCACGTTGCGATAGTCAAATTCGCGTTGCGATAGTCAAATTCGCGTTGCGATTTTTATGTTGTGATAGTCAAATTCGCATTGCGATATTCAAATGAATGTGTAATAAGTGATAACAACTGAACAGATCATAGCAATGTTCAAACTCAAGTTACTAATACATGCCTAACTGAAAATGTTAAAAGTTCACACATAAAATACACATAATACAACGTTTGCATTTAAAAATCACCTAAGTTAATTGTCCCAAAAGGTGAAGCTGGTTGTGATTGGGATTTTGATTTTGATTGCGATTTTGATTGCCTTTTGCTTGACACCATATGAGCTTTAGATTTTGATAATAATCCATATTTTGGTAGAGGAAAAGATGATTGTGATGGCACTGGTGATCCATATGTCAACCTTGTATGACCACTTTCCTTGCCCCGACTACATGTCGATCTCTTCTTTTCTTCACCCTTAGACGGTATACAATCGTGACTTTTTGGTCGGCCAGGTAGCATTCTGTCCATGGATGGTGGCAAAACTGTTTGTAAGTCATCTGGTATGTCCCACTCAGAAGGATGTGGAATAGGGTAGATAATATCAGCATAAGTCTGTCGATATACTTCTGTAATGTAGCAATACATAGCGTATGCGCTTGAATCATCTTGGTTTAGATGAAGAGCAACTTTTATAACATGGCCACACGGATAACCATATGTTTGTCATTTCATAAAACTACACGTCTTTGCATTTAGATCGACAAGCCCATTTAAGTTATTATCCAGTACTTCAAACAAAGTGTTTGAACATGGTTCAACTCTCCATGACGTTGACTTCACAACACGTTTTGTTATATTTTTTTCAGTCCATGGTGTAACACGATGTTCCAATGTTCCTGTAAATTTAAATAAATAATACTTAATAAAATATATGATAAGTTACGAATTTAAAGAAATAATACCTGCATGGTTTCTTTTCTTGTAGTACCACTGTTGAATAGAGGCTCGAAAAAACTCCATTAACATAGTAATGGGTAATTTTCGGGAATGACGACTTAGAGCGTTGATTGATTCTGCACTATTAGACGTCATGAAACCATATCTTGCTCCAAGTTGATGTACTTTTGACCATCTTTCAAACCCGACATCTTCTAGTGTTTGAGCACACTGAGGCAAAACACGTCTTAAACAATTTATATGCTTATTAAAATCCACTTCCCGATAAGCATTTACAGCATTCCAGTATGTTCATTTGTGATTTTTTATACCATCAGACCTTGATTTTAGATTTCTATACAAATGAACACCACAAAGTCCATGAAAAACATCTGGGAAACACCTTCTAACATCGTTGTCAATTGAGTTTGCCCTATCGGATATGATTGTCAGATTGCTAATAGGACCTATGCAATCCCTAAGATTCCCCATAAACCATGTCCATGAATCAAAGGTTTCAGATTTGCCAACCCCGTAAGCTATTGGCAATATCCCATTGTTAGCATCCATGACTACTGCTAATAAGTTTACTCCAAGGTATCGACCTTTCAAATGTGCTACGTCAACTATAATAACTGGGCGCATACAAGTAATAAACGAACGAATCTACAAAATAATATACACAAGAAATATAATCATTTAAATTTGAAATGCATGTAACTAACAAAAATGAGTCAACAAAATTATATTGATTTACTAACCGCAACACCAATGGCGATAAACAGCAACTCAAAGCGTCCATCTATATCTGTTTTGATATGAGTTACCGACCCAGGATTTTTCAGCTTTAAATTGTGACAATAAGCCGACAGTTGGGCAAACGATGCTTCTGGAGACCCCCTCAACAATTCCAAGGCATAACATTTGGCTCTCCAAGCTTGAGAATATGAGATACTAATCTTGAATCGAGCATTCATGTCAGTCATAATTTCATGTCCCCGATATACCCTATCATGCAAAAACATTAACTCAGCCAGAAAACCACCCAACACATTTTTTGTTTGCCTGCCTATGGCGAGGAAAAACTTGGGTTCTTGAACATGTATGTTTATCAATAAAAGTCCTAACTTGAAACATTTCGCAATCTTTTATCCTCTTTGCAATCATACGCCACATACAATTTTTGTCAATCATACACCTTGTTTCGAAACGATCTTTGCTTGATTTGTTAACTTTTAGTTGATAGCCACCTTCCACACATTTCGTATACAAAGCTATCTTCAAGTCTTCCTTTGTATCAAAACAATCATCTTTCTTGATACGAATAATTTTTGTGTAACAATTAACTGCTATCTTTACCAACTCTTCTTCCGGTATCTGAAGTAATTCTGGCATATTCCAGTTATACTCCCGTGGCATTTTTTTCGGGGATTTCTTTTTCTTCTTTTTCTTTTTCAGTGTTATATGAATTACAGATTTGATGTTCAACATGTTAATTCATAGTCGTAACTTCCTCCTCATTATTATCAACAACATCTTCCTCGACAGCGGCTGTTTCATCATCAAAATTCGGGTATTGACCAATATCAAAATTATTACACGCAGGGTCTGTTTCTTCTTCTGAAACATCATCAAAATCCGAGTATTGACCAAGATCAAAGTCCGGGTATTGACCAAGATCAAATTTCGAATACTGACTAGTACTCAAATTTTTTTCTGTTGGCTCATCATCGTCTAACTGGTCAATACGAAAACCGAAATTTGGTGCTGAAAGTTGATTGGGATTTGGATTAGGGAAAGGTTGTGGGTTTTGAGATTGTGTTTAGTATTGGAAATGTTGTGAAACAAAATTTGCTTGGTGATGAAATTGTGGTGGAACCATTAAATTTTGAGGACCATAAACTGGGGTTGAAAAACTTAGTTGATTACTACCCGCTACTGACCCAACTTCAATACTTCTAGGTTCAACAACATACAATGTAACATCATCTTACGAAACACTAGTGTAAGCAATGAATCGTTCAACATCTTCATTGTCGGTTAACAAATAAACTTTACCTTTTCTCTGATAAGATAGCCTAAATCCACTTAGGAGCTCTAAATTTAATTTATTTGCAATACGTAACATTAGAGTTTCATAAGTTAACTTTTTTAATGACAGTTTTAGTTGAAGATTCATGGGTAAAGGCTTATATTGTAAAACACCATGAACATTCTCCCATGACCTTCCAAAACACAAATCTATCCAAACATGATCAACCTTAGATTATTTCATTATTGTAAATTAATTTACTAAACAAACGAGCTGAGAAACTAAAACCTGTTGCCGGATGGGGAATGATGTCGTTGGATATAAGATGTCGTTGGATATAGGAACGGATGTCGCCATAGAGAGTGATAGATGGGGATGGAATGAATTACGATTTAGGGATTTATGTTATGAGTTGCTGATGCTGCGTAGTTATATACCCAAAACTTTTGTGTTGCGAAACTAAAACCTGTTGCGAATTTGAAATTCGGTGTTGCGATAGCCAGAATCGCTTTGCGATAGTCAGAATCGCGTTGCGATTTACATATTCGCATTGCGATAGTCAAAATCACGTTGTGAATCTGGAAACTGATTTGCGATATTAGAGATCGCGTTGCGATTTTGTTGGTCATTTTGGAAAATCGAAAAAAAGTTGTCAAAATCGTATATTATAAGGCATTTTCGGTCACTAAGATTATTTTCTCTTATATATTATATATTTAGAAATAATTATAATATTTTTTAATTGTATAGTTATTTTATCGAATATATATATATATATTGTGTTGAGTCAAACTCAACAGAGGGGCCAAATTTCAGATTTGGTAAAATCATAATCATATCAAATTTTGGGCAAAATTGGTTGAATAATGCAATGGAAAAAAAATTCTTCACATAATGCAGTCGAACAATTATTTGCTTAAGTAGGGTGATTGTTACAGTGACTACCATAGGTCCCCAGGAGCACATGGCGACCTCTATAGGTTTCCAGGAGCACACGACGACCTATGGAGCACTTGGCGACCTATAGAGCTGCAACAGCGAGGGAAGAGAGAAGAGTTGCTATAGAGCTGCAACAGCGAGGGAAGAGAAAAGAGTTGCTGCAACATTGGAGGCTTTATCGCAACGAGCACTTAGCGACCAATGAGGTTACTGTAGCAAGCACCCCAAATTCAATAAATAATTTGGTTATAGTCCTATATGGAGAAATTTTTTTTCCGACGCCCTAAATGGGCGAGGAAGCCCAAATTTTGGGTGTGAGGGTATATTTTTATTAGGTCGGGTTGATAGGAAACTATTTGATTAAGATGATTATTTTAGTAATTTTGTTATTTAACACATTATTTTTAATAAAAATAGTTTTAATTATTCACTTTAATCTTAAACATGAATCATATCGTGGTGTTCACTTTTAAATATCTTAAAATTCAGTTTAATATCCAATTTACATAAAAAAAATCTAAATTCATAATTTAAAATCCAAACCCTACTTTTTGGATTTTGTTTGCGTACAAAAACCAAAGAAAAGCGAAAGGCATGAATAAAAAGGGTCACGTTCTCTAGATTATCTTCCGGTGTTTATTTCAGTATAAATACAAGCATATGTGGTGGAGGTGGAGCAAAATTCCATTCACCACAATCCGTATTCCAGGTGCCAATCTACGGTCTTCTTTGTTGTCTTTGATTCCTTGTGTACTTCTCTCCTAGTTTCGGCCTATGGAAGAAACATTTAAAAACCTACACGGCAAGAGTTATGTATCCTACCCAAATACTAGCGACTCCATCACTGACTATCCAAAGAAGTGCGTCTCCTCAGCGGATACCGCCGTTTCCGCCACCACAACAGCGGCGAACAAGAGGTCTCTCAGAGGAAATGGTAGCTCCGGTGGAACGATGAGGTATCGTGGTGTTCGCCGCAGGCCGTGGGGTCGTTATGCTGCTGAGATACGAGACCCGCAGTCCAAGGAACGGCGTTGGCTCGGGACCTTTGACACCGCCGAGGAGGCCGCTTGCGCCTACGACTGTGCAGCTCGATCTATGCGTGGGATCAAGGCTCGAACCAATTTCGTTTACCCGGCGACCGAGCCTCACTCAGCGAGCGACCATCTCCTTCCACCTTTTACCTTTTCGAAGCAGTCACAGTCATCCATCAGGGATATTAACTGCATCCGTCATCAGTTTGGCCAATCTTCTAACTGCCCATCGTTTGCTAACTCACATACCGGAGACTTCTCCGTTGGGTCTTCTGCTCAACGAAACCCTTCTTTGAACATGGTTCTCTTCCGCAACCTCTTGAATTCATCCAATTCATCTCTCCACGAGCCAACTCCTCAGTCTCCGGCGGACCATATTCCATTCGTCAACGGAAGTACTTCATCTCTGCCTTTCACTTATTCAGCTTATTCAAGCGTTTTTCACGGTGGATCTTTGTTGAAACCGGCTACCAACACTACTCTAATGGCAACAGATAGCGTATCCGATTCTTTCACAGGGTCTACCATGACACTCCCTCTCAAGGAACCCAATTCAAGTAATGAAACTGTCGATGATACGGAATTCTTCCCGCAGGGGCCTTCTGACTCCGGCTTGTTGCATGAAATAATCCAAGGGTTCTTACCGAAGAAATCAGGTGACCTTACAGTTAACTCAAACTGCACTCAGCATTCAAAAGTCGTCCCTGTAATCGATGTGAAGAAGGAACATTTAGATTTTTATGGCGATTACAATCAAGGGTTCACTCAGCAGTCGGAGAGTTTCAGTGGATTCACTGTCTCCGAAACGAAGCCCTATGCTTATAATGATATACCAATGAAACACCTACAGGTAGGTCAAGACTGCTTGCTAGATGATATCTTTCAGTACCAAGATTTCATGGGTTCCTTAGCAGCTAGGGTTCAAAATGCTTGAGCACGATCAGTATGTAAAGTCGTGGGGTAGATGCACTCACTGTTTGGGATTTCAAGCTTTTCGTTACTTAAAAGCATCATGTTTTTTTGTTGTGATTTTCATAACATGTAATGGTAATCCCTGGACGAAATCGAAATCTTGTAGGATTGGTTTTTTTCTTCTGATTTTACGTAAAGTATGCAACTTTCTTTTATGCGCATTAGCATGGGAAATGATAAAAGAAACAGAGAGTAATGTGTTTCTTCTTTGGAACTCTAAAGTCTGATATTGTCTGCATTCTATGTTGTGGCTCTTACATGAAAGAGGCGTTGGCTTTCTGGGTATTATTTTCTTACCCTTTCTAGTTTCGCAAACCCTAAAGAGTATGAGATAAGTTGGAGAAATCTTTCTATTTGTATTTTTAGTTGAAACAACAAAAAAGGTAACAAGACAACATAAGAGGCGGTAGTTGCTCTTGATTAATGCGAACGCGTGAGGGAGTATTCTTCCTTTCCCTTTTGATTTCCGATGGGAGCATAAAAGTTTATGCAAGTAGCTTACAATAAGTCGGACCAATTTTACGAAAGGGCTAGCTGTAGTTCAAATACCATAAGAATTTGGACTTAATTAAATTGTTAAAATAATACATAAATAATATAATTTAGAGAAACATATTTTGATGTAGGTTAAAAACTCATGCAGCATATTAGAAATTTTCTTTTTCATTTACTAAAGAGGGAATGCGGCTTGTTATTTACAACGGTGGCTGAATCCATTTGATGCGACATAAACAAATATTTGACACGCTAGATGTACACTCATTTTGAAGGGCTAAAGTCTCGAGATAACGTTATCGAACAAATTATTTTACGAGATAATATTCTCCCAAGATTAATTGCTCAAATAGGGTGAAATCTACAGTGTTGGTCGTAGGTCGTCATGCCATCCGGGCGACCTACTAGGTCGTCATGTCTTTCCGGCGAGCTATGAGAGAGATTGCATGTGCCATGCACGTTCCAACACGCTGGGCATTTGAGGCCATCCGAGGGCAAGAGGAATCATGCGAGGAGCAGGAGGGAGTGCATGGCGACCTACATGATCGTCCGGAGGGCATGGCGACCTATATTTGGGGATGTGCATGGCTGGCCACGTAGTAGGTCACCCGGAAGGCATGGCGACCTACGGCCAACATTGTAGATTTCACCATATTTGAGCAATTAATCTTGGGAGAACATTATCTCGTGAAATAAATTATTCGAAAACGTTATCTCGAAAGTTTAGCCCATTTTAAAGATGTCGGTGAATCATAATGTCTGATAAAACTTACAATCAAATGTGTTAATTTAAGTACGACACAAAAAAAATCAAAGAAATCAATATGTCTCTAACATTTCTGTTCTTAGAGAAATGTGTTAACAATTAATGGAATAAAAAGAAAGAGCTACAAGGATAGAATCATTATTGAACTATGAACCGGTAAGTAGTTTAACTTTGAAATAAATAAGATTTTTAAAATTGAACAAACCATAAGAATTAAAGGAACTATGATTTAATTTAACCAATTTTAAAATTGAAGGATCTTAAAGAGTAATTGAACCAAAAATAGAAGTCAAATTTTTTAAAAGGAAAAGATTTTAAAATATAATTAAACCAGTAAATTTGGGATGAAAAATGACTTAATTATAATAATTTCAAAATTATTAATAATAAAAAATTAATTAAACCATCAGAATTTGGGGGAACAATTACCCTCCCACCCTTCCATTTAGATTAGTCCCTAGTGATATATCTATGAATTTCATATTAATATCGTAATAACTATAAAATATTTTATTAGTCCTCGTGAGTATTATTTATTGCCGAAAATCGTTGCTCTTTGTTGCAAATGTGCGCAACGGTACTATGGACGTGAGGCGTCGGAAGTACGTCGGTGACAACGACAATCTTATTCCGCCTCCCAATTCTAAATGTTTAATTTGGGGGAGGCCTAGGCCATCTAATTAAACTTTTAAACGTATTTAGCTATTTTGAGACCACTAAATATTTATTTTTAGGGAAAACTACATGAATAGTTCCTTTTGTTTAGAATATGACTGAATTTGGTCACCAATTTAAAAATTAAGGAAAAATGATCCCTCACATTATCAGTTCGTCCGGTTTAAGTCCCTATGCTATTAATTTTTGTTAACCCTCTCTTGTTTAAGTCCCTTTTATTTAAGTTCTTAACATGGCCGAGGGACTAAAATCGAATTGGAGTTAACAACTGAGGGACTAAAATCGAACGGATCGGTAATGTTAGCGACTAAAAGTAAACAAATCGATAACGTTAAGGACCATTTTCCCTTAAATTTTTAAATTAGTGACCAAGGTCGGTCAGTCAAAAAATATAAAGGACTATTCACATAGTTTACCCTTATTTTTATCAAGCTTTTCATTTTTTTTGAAAGAATCACTAATTTTATTCAAAATATGAAATATCCTAAATTACAATAAAGATTTACAATCATAATAGTAAATTAAGAACATAATTAGGACAATTGGCAATTTCCTATAATCATTGAAATAAAACTAGCAACTTAAGATCACATAAGGACCATACAATGAAATATTAAAAATCTAACCAACAAAAACTCGAACAAAGATATATACAAACATATCTAATTACATCAGCAACCAAACCACAAAAAGGGATCAAGTTACTGAAAGGTCACTGACAAACCACAAATCAAACTCGAGCGATGTGAAAAGATATCCACGAATGCATAACAGATATTCAAATCTAATATGAGAGTCCAAAGTAGGGAAGATAAACAATATAAAAAAATAAGCGCCATCTTGATCAGTTATGATTATGACTAATATCAATCTTTAGAAAATGATAAATGAAAACAACGACCAAACGACCGAAAAACGTGTCAAGATCAGAGGAAAACGTTTCATACAGACAGACTTATTAAAAATAAAAAACAAGAGAAAATAAAAGGATAATAAATAATATTCGACCGTCGGTAACCAACATTAAAATTAATATCGTTGTTGATTAATAAAGAGAAAAAAAAGAAGAGAAAAACGACTTACCAATAAAAAAAATTAAAAGAGATCTAAAAAATAAAATGTTCAATATAATAATGTTTTATAAATCATAAGCCATTTAGTATACTCCGAAATATGAATTTTAAAATGTCAACATCGTCCTTGTGAGTTCTTCGAAAAGGCAAAATTACAGTAATTAATTACTTCACAATAAAAGATAAGGTAAAGTACATAAATTATAATCTAATTATAGTAGGTTAGTCTTATGAATATTAAAAATTAAAAGATGATATTCAATTATAAGATATTATTTTGTTAATTTATTGACTATTAAAAGTTATATAATGATAACTCATTATTTATATGTTTCAATCTCATCATTTTCTATTAAAAATTGTGATCATCTAGCATGGATATTAATCTGTTAACTTAAATATGATAAAACTTGATCCCAAAATCGCTTGAGTTGTATTTTGTATATCGGCTTTTTGTATACATTGTGTTGTCAAGTTAGTACTTGAAAGTAACGACAGTGCTATTAGACATCATTAAAATATATTTTTATCATATCTCATTCAACAAGTGAATGCCAAACTTAGACAATCATTAATTTTTTATAAAAAAAGAACGAATTTGAAACATCTAATTGAGTGACTATTTTGTAGTTTTTAATAGTAAAGACTCGACAAAATAATATCTTATAATTAAAAAATTATTTTATAATTTTTAATAATTAAGAAATCCAACAAAAAAAAAACCCTATAATTGAGATAATTTTTGTACTTTATCTTGAAAGGCAAAGCATTGTAGAGGAATTTGCTACGCCATTATGAATACGCACACAACTTTATCGCTGGATCTGAGCTTTGTCCAGATCAAAGCCATCTAGGGTTGTGCATGCATGCAGCTTATTTGACAGACGGCAGGTTCGGCATCTAAATAAATGTGGCTTTACAAATTGCTCTGCTTTACAATTTTACGCCCATCATCAGATCGTACTTTTCTACTTGTTTTGCTGTGTTACGTAACTGGGTTTCTTCTTAAAAAATACTGGGAAAAATGTGACTCGTGTACATCCAGTGGTCGATGGAACGGCCAACGGCCCGACTAGTTAAAATGGCGGTGTAGATAGGACAACCCTAAATCTTGTCCCAATCAAGTATTTCTCTGATGACGATTTGCAGCTGCTAGCTGTTGTGTTTTTGACACTACGACAAAACGTTTTTTACCGACATCTTTTCAATACTCCCTATTAGTTATTTTGCGAGTTAAGATGATAACTTGTGGTACTAGTATATTAGATTTTGAAAGGAAAATCTGACGTGCCACAATATTAATATATAATTAAAAAAAAGTGTTATTGGTTTTATTATTATTTTTTAATAAAATTAATAAAAAATTTACTGAAAATATTGTTATTTTTATTATTTTTATTATTATTGGATGTTTTACCGAGTTTGGTAAAACGCTACCTAAAATATTATTTTGTTCTATTGATTTTGTTATTATTGGGCATTTTACCGGAAATGTTAAAAACATTAATGTTTTAGGTAGAAATAATAATTTTTTGGGTAAATTTTTACTGGAAATATTAAACAAATAATAACAAAATCGGTAATACATTTCCTTAGCCATATAGTAAGACTGTCGCACGATAGAATTTCCTGTTATTTAATGTCACAAGTTGATTTAACATTAAAAATTTGATTCAAATTGACTTCGTATTTTGATAAACTCGGCCTAATTCGAAAAAAATTAAATTCGAATTGAGTTATGAAATACAACTCTAATAACTTGAAATTTTTAATATTATAAATATTTATAATTAAATTTAAATAAAAATTCAAACAACTTAACTCAAATTTTATAATTAAAAAAAATGAGAATATTTTTTTATGAATATAAATATAAACAATATTAAGTTGTGTTTGTAACACTATTTTTATTTTAATTTATATTTGTTTCCTCTACCTAAACAAATCACCGACTCTTGCTTCCTGTACTTGAAGTGCCACTCTTCGAGCCAATTCCATCTTGGACGAAGATGATACATCAAGAACAATGGCTGCTTTCAAGATCTTGAGTAGAAAACTGCACGAAACTGAGCCTTTCTCCGATGGGAGTAAACTCAGTATTGATTGCAACAGCAGCCTGGACTTTGAAGTAGCCTCACTATCCGAGTCCAAATCTGAGTCAGACGCTGCTGCTTCTTTGTTAGCTTTTACTTTTCTTAAATAGTTCATTCTCATCCTCTAATTGTTTAAGAAAATTTAGGGATTAGATTCCTTTAGTGCACTTCTTGTTGGCTTTGTTACTTGTTAAAGGCTTTTATGAGACTATCCTAATTTAAATTTTGAACTTTATTTAGAAAAGTTAATATTTTATCTCTATATATTAATAATATAATATACAATTAAAAAGATGAACCACTAGCACTATTAATAGAACTAGGAGTTGGTGAAATTTAGCTCAATTAAAAAATCGATTTTTTTTTAATTCGATTCAACGTTTAAAAATTTAATTCGTTTGACTCGAAATTTTTTAAGATAAAGTCTATAGTTGGAAAGGGAGCTTTGGAAAACCCCACTCTATCCTTGCAAGTCCAACATGTGGACCGACACAAATGTTTAAAAGGCTAGCTACTTGTAGATGCCACCGTCTTACTACATTATTCATACTTAACCTGTTACCATATTGTTTGGGCTTTGCTAGGTTCAGAATGTAGCTTGGACTTTCCTCTAATTAATGGACCGTCCATAGAAAATCGACACCACGCAAAAGTATTCCCGAACGAAGAAAACCATGGAAATTTGAAGGTCGAGGTGGTATGAAGTGATTCTAATGGTAAATGAATTATTGTTATTTTTTGAGGTCTCAGATGTGTGCATCAAGAATGTCAGGGATACAAACGTCTATTGCTAAATGATTAAAAATTATCTTTAAAAATTATCAAATCTACTTTACGAGTGCTGAATGTGCGGTCCTTTAGATTAGGGTTTTGTATACGGAACATTTAGCATTACAAGATATTCTGCAGGTAAATACTCGCCAGGTCCTGGTGGATTATGTTAAAGCAATAAAAGCAAGAAAATTGTTAATTTTGGAGGACAACAACATTAGCTTTTTTCTTGGAAAATGCATGCGTATGCCACTTGCTCTTTAAAAGCATCGACCTCGTCCTTGTCTCTGTCTTTCACGACTCCCACTTCATAAGGCTGCTTTTATTTCTCCATTAATTCTTTTTACATAAAATACCGGAATCAATTTCAAAATGCATTGCGAGTAAATCCTAAACCCTAAACTGCTAGGATATGCTTTGAGAAAAATGTCTTGTATGGGATATGCTTTGAGAAAAAGTATAAAGAAGACGTTCTGCTGTTCTCATGCATGGATAAAGTACAAGGAAGACGTTCTGCAATCCAATGATTTTTAGAAGTCATCGTATGTTCTAACTATGTATAAAATTAAGAATTTACATCGTACAATAAGATCTTATCTCAAACTAAAATGTTGTCTCTATTTTCTATTTCCAAAGGGATGATTCAACTTTGTGATTATACAAGGTTGTGAAATTTGTGAATTACATTAATTATATAAAATAGGTATTGCCGACCCACTTTGGTAATGGGTGGACCAATCATCCTTAATTAAAACAAAACAGACCAAGCTATTTAATTCAGGCCGAAATTACATTAATTCAATCAAATGTAATAAACTATGAGATAACTATTAAAATTATAAAATCAAAACTGATTAAATAAATAATATAATATATAAATTCTGATTTTTTATAATTATATTTATTTAATATAAAAATATATAGATATGTGGGCGAGATCTGTGGATTAACGATTCTGTGATGGACCCCTTGACTTAACTCATCCTGGTTCATGGGTGGCTATTTAAAGTTGTTACTTTTTGGTTGACTCCTCCATGTGGAATATTTCTCCCCCATCTAATCTTTATTGTAATAATAATATAGTATTTTTCTTTGGTTTAATGAAAAATAAATATTTAAATTATATATATATATATTTTAATTTTAGGTGTTCTCGTTTAAAATAAGTGTTTAATATTCCTAACGTTATTCTTTTAAATGTCTACACAGTAACAACAGTTAAAAATTCGTGTTATCTAACACGTTTCACTTTTATAAAATTTTATTTTAAAAAACATTTTAAATTATTTTTTTTCTAAAAAAATATTTTTTCTCTAAAATTATAAAAAAAAAACTCAAATCCTTAATAATTCTAATTTCAATCCTCTTACCACTACTGTCCACCAACAACAGACCGAAATTCTAACGACATGCGGCCGACCCAACACCCAACGGTCAAAATCCCTTGTTCCAACCCTTAATTGTTGTGACCAATCGACGATTGTAGCGTGAAGAAATGCGTTCGGATGATCGTAAAATCATACAGTCATACAACATTGGGTCTTAGGTTGGTCGCGAAAATAAGAGGTTTCGACCATGGGTGTTTGATTGATTGCACATCATTGGGTCTTGGGTGTTTGATCGATGAGCGACGTTGATGATGACTAACGGTGTTAAGGGACTAAAATTAGGGTTTTAGAGGTTTTTTTTTGTAATCATATAAAATTGAGTTTTTTTAATTAAATAAAATTCTTAAAGTTTTATAAATGTGACAAATGTTAACTAACTATTTTTTAATAGTCGTGATGGATTAGACACCCAGAAAGATGACGTTGAGAATGTAAAGCATTTACTTTGATCAAAAAATTCTTTAGACACTTAAAATTAATAAAATATATAATTTAAACACTTACTATATATATATATATATTATAATTAATATCCATGAATGGTTTATTTTCTGAATAATTATCTTCATAATTTAAAACACAATGATTTTTTTTTTCATTATCCCTAGCATATTTATTGATTATCTATTTCTTATCATTATTATTATAAAATAAATTACTAATAATAAATCTCAGTGAGTTGACATTTCAGAATATTTTTAGATGAATTTGACTTTTCAACAACAAAAAGGAAAAATAACAGAATATGCAATTGAATTATAAAAAGTTGAACAGAATTTTCATTAGAGAGCGTTAGAATTGATAAGTTACACTTTTAGATTTATTTTAATCCTTTATTTTTATATTAATTTTAGATTTTCATTTGACAAAATAGCATTGTAGTTCTCATTGAAGGTTTCGAGTTTGAGTAATTAAATCTATAAGGTATATATTATCAATAGTTAAAAAGAATTATAAATAAATACTACCTTATAATAACCTTAAATTATTAAAATATATCATGTAGTTGCACTGTATCAATCCATACACATTGATACAAAATTTTAATATTTTTAAATAAAATTACTTATTTTCATATTAAATATTTTTTATTTCTTATAAAACAAAAGTTAAAATATAATCTTTTAATTAAATTACTGAATTTAATTAATAATTTCAATAATTATATTTTAATAGAATTATTACAATAATTTGTTGAAAAATTCTGGCCATATAAAGTATAAAGAAAGTTATTTTTCCAAAGATGTGTCCTATAGTACTTATCGGAAGTTGTTCAAACCACATGACAATTTTTAGAAGACGTTTGGACTATTCGACGACTCCAGTTGTCTTTGTTATCATGCATGGATCAAGTATAAAGAAGACGTTTTATAATCCAACGACTTTTAGAAGTTATCGTGTGTTTCAGACAGACAAAATTGTCAGGATAATGCTTTGGGAGACATGTCTTATATGAGATATTGAAAAAATATTTTCTCAAGCAGGTTGAAATGCGTAGTGCAAGGAGGAAGTTGATCGAAACACTTGACGACTTCCACCAACTTCAGGAAGTCAGCCGAAGCACCTAGTGTCTTCAAGCTCTTTATCTCTGCTAATAAGCTCCTACTCTGCTGCAGTTAGCATATAAGTCATGTGGCTAGTCAAGCAACCCTTATTGCAGTTGCCAAAAATAATATGTGATGTTGAAGTGTTCATAAAATAATACTATATCATCATTAAAATTAAAATTAATGCTACATTAGTAATTTTATTAATTTTTTAATTATTAATGATCAAAATAAAATTAAAATGTAACATTAAATATAATTTAAAAAAGAATTAACTGACCAAAATAAAATAAAAATGATAATTAAGATACTATACATGTAGTTTACCCTTACACAAATAAAAGTAGAAGACAAGAGAAACGGTTCTCTTTCTCACGCCCGGTATTGATCTTTAAAATTGCCACCCATTAACAATGACAGGGAGCACCACGCTTTTTCTTTTATTTCTTTAATCTCTAAAATTGGATCATTCTTAAATACAAACTATTTAAGCTCAATAATTCCTTCCGTTGTTACAACCAATTCTCTCTCTCTCTCTCTCTCTTTTTGGGTTTCCCTTTTTTTAAGAGTGATCATCGCCTGTTGAGGTAACCGTTAGAGAAGGAACAGGGAATCGGCGGAGATCGAGCGAGTGTTTCCGGCGGCTCATCAGCTGGATTTTGCGGCACTCAGCTCAAAGATTTCACCTTTTCTTTTGGGTTTTTCTTTTCTTTATTCCTTTAAGGAAAATGATGCGGATTATGAATGAAGGAGGCCATACTTGTCCTAAGAAAACTGATGACATCTGTGGAGATGTTTGTGGTCAGGTACTCCCCTATTTTCATCTCCTTTTGCTTTCTCTTCCATGGGCAATTAATGAGGTTGAAAAAAATGGGTCTTAGTTAAATTTTTAATATATGTTACATGCTATATATTCGGCTAATCTCATTGTTTTTCTTGGGTTTTGGATTAAATTTTGAGGGGAAAAAAGAGCTTATGATTTTGATTTCGTTGATAGACAGTGTTTCTGCAAATTTTAAATCGATCTGGAATTTTGTATAGCTATGGAAGAAACTATTTGGTTAATTTTTGGGATTATGTAAAATTCAATTCAATAAACAAAGATTCAAAGACGTAAAAAAGCTAGATAATAAGAAACTGGCTGGAAAGTTATTGGATTAATGTTTTCAAGTAGATGGATTTAAATTGCTGTTGCAGTGACGGTTTCGGTTGTGTTGCTTTAATTGAGATTATAGACGTAATGGATGTTATTGCCGCCAATATTCTGAAGGCGGACTGTTATTTAAATCCCTTCTTTTGACAGGAAGCATTACAATTTGCATATGATCTGCACATATTTTGTTGGTAGAGATTATTATTTTCCCTGCTAGAATTATACTTCTTTGATGTTTCTGGAGTGTCTTGTGTTGAAATATTACTTTGGTTAATAACATCTTAATATTTTTTATTAGTACTGATACAGTATTTTTCTATGCAGCAGGGATCTAGCCGGCTGAGCATGTCGAGAATCCGCTGCATACTGCGTGGCATCGATTTGAAAACTTATATAGTTCTATTTGTACTAGTTCCTACGTTCGTTTTTGGTGTGTATGTTCACGGACAGAAGATTTCATACTTCTTGCGGCCGCTGTGGGAATCACCGCCCAAGCCTTTCCGTGATATCCCACATTATTATCATGAGAATGTGTCAATGGAGACACTCTGCAAACTTCATGGTTGGAGAGTTCGTGAGTTTCCAAGACGAGTATACGATGCAGTGTTGTTCAGCAACGAAGTGGATATTCTTACCCTACGGTGGCAAGAGTTATATCCTTATGTTACCCAATTTGTTCTTCTTGAGTCTAATTCCACATTTACTGGAATTCCGAAGCCTATGATTTTTGCTAGTAATCGAGATCAGTTCAAATTTGTTGAGCCCCGACTGACTTATGGGTCCATTGGAGGAAGGTTTAAGAAGGGAGAAAACCCATTCGTTGAGGAGGCTATGCAGCGAGTAGCATTAGACCAGCTTCTCAAAATAGCTGGGATTACTGATGATGACTTGTTGATAATGTCTGATGTTGACGAGATACCAAGCAGACATACTATCAACCTATTGAGATGGTGTGATGACATTCCTCAAGTTCTTCATCTTCGGCTAAAGAATTATCTTTATTCTTTCGAGTTTCTCGTGGATGATAAAAGCTGGAGGGCGTCGGTCCACAGGTATCAGACGGGTAAAACAAGATACGCACATTATCGTCAGACAGATGAGATTTTGGCGGATGCAGGGTGGCACTGCAGTTTTTGCTTCCGCCATATTAGCCAGTTCATATTTAAGATGAAAGCATACAGCCATAGTGATAGAGTGAGGTTTTCTCATTACTTGAACCTGAAAAGAATCCAGAGAGTAATTTGCAAGGGTGCCGATCTATTCGACATGCTTCCAGAGGAGTATACATTCAAGGAAATAATCGGCAAAATGGGTCCAATTCCTCATTCTTTCTCGGCTGTTCATCTTCCATCACATCTTTTAGAGAATACAGATAAATACAAATTTCTTTTGCCTGGAAATTGTTTAAGAGAAAGTGGCTGATTCTTCTAAGTACTAGGTGGTTTTGGCTAGTTAGAGGCGCTACCGAGGTGACTCCCCACGATGGGTTCGACTGCGTTGCCTCACTGAGCAGCCTCGTCTTCTACCGAGCTAAAATGTCCAGTTCCCTGGGAAAATGATTGAAGAGTTGTAGGTTTGTACATATAACTTATTTTTGGTTGATTATGTGTAGTATGTTAGGGGAATTTTGTGGAGACAATTTATTCAATACACGTTTTTATATTCCTTTTTTCACTTTAATTTCATGGTGAATTTTTATTCATTCATGTGGTGATTCAACACACATGAGACGGCAAGCAAGAGATGATATCAATCCCCGTAAGAAAGGAGGAGATATTTTGTTAGGAGTTGGTTATGTGTGGCACTCCACAAATCTTGTTTCAACACGTCTATAACTTGTTCAGTTAATGGATGCCACCTCATCTTCTTCATATTGGACGCTACAAAATTTCAATTAAAAGTTTTAGTTATAAAATAAAATTTGAATAACTCACAAATTTTAATAATTAGAGGATTAATTTTTTAAGTTTAAATCGAGATCCTCAACTTTACGTGATATATGTGTATAACATATGAAAAATTATATGTATATCGTATGTGGTTATAGAAAGTTGTTTAAATTATAATTAATTAGTATCATAACATTATAAATATTTACAATTAAATTTAAACAGAAATTTGAACAACTCAACTTGAAAAGATTTTAAATAAAATTTCATTTATAAAATAGAACTCGTCAATTCAACTAACTCAGTTTTCTTTAACTTAACTCGACTTAATTGACTACTCATCCCTACTTACGACTCTTGAAATTTAAAAATATATACTCCAACGAGATATGGTGAATAAAGCTTATATGAGTTGAAAGACATTGTTTACAGTGTATATTGTTTTTTTTAGAGGTTTTACGTTCAAATAACTGCATCCAATATATATATATATATATATATATAATTAAGAAAATTTTTAAATCTTATAATCACTGCAATAGAAAGAAACTGAAAGGTTTGAAAGAGGTTTGTTAAATGGAAAAAATGAGTTATTAGCATGGTTATCAAAATTAGACCGGTCGGTTTAACCGGTTGAACCGTGAACCGGTGGCCTGTCCTGTCCAGTTACCTCATAAAGCTGGGCTGGCAATGAACCGGCTGAAAACCGGCAAAACTGGTTTGAACCGCCAGTTCACTTTTTTTTAAAAAAAATTAAACCAAACGACGTCGTTTGTTCAACGAGCCAAATCAAATTCAAGTATTGCTGAGCTCGACTCGAACTCGAAAACTTTAAAAGTAAGCTCAACTCGAATAAAAAACTCACGAGCTAAAAATTATCAAGTTCAACTCGAACTCGAAATATAATATTAAAACTTGAACTCGAAAAGGCTCGAACTCAAAAAAATTTAGAAGTTCGATTGAAGCCTAAAATTTGAGATCAATTGAAGCAAAAAAATAGTTTGCTGTGTGCTCACCAAAATGCTCCATGATTTTGAATGTCAAATTACCTCTATTATTTATAGAAATAAGTTGGATGCTCTTCTATGTTTCTTAGCCACGTGAGATTGTTTTGTTCTCATATTTTTACTCTTTAAACTTTTGGGATGCTCTTCTATGTTTTTTAGCCATGTGAGATTGTTTTTTAAAAAAAAATTAAACCAAATGACATAATTTGTTATGATTTTAAGCCCCAATTTTATTTATTTTTATTATAATTATATAATTATATTTATTATTTAATATGTTTTACCTTAAATATTATGTTGTAGTTGATTTAAATCATTTTGTTTCACTCGATTTTATGGTTTTTAATTTATATATGTTATGACTTGTGATATTTTTATACCTTTTAATATTGTAAAATTAAAAAAAGTGTTACATATATATTAATATTGCTTTGAATATTATGTAAAATTAAAAAAATATTATTTTATATAAAATCCAGTTCAACCGCGGTTAAACCAGTGAACCAATACATTTACCGATTCAATGTCCGATCCGATTTTAAAAATATTGAGTTTTAGAATCACAACTGGACAGCTCATATGTACTTTGCATTTTAAAATATGCCACCTACTATCACATAAACTTAAGCTGATAGTAAAAGTCAAACTACTATTGTAGCATAAAGAAAGCAAGGCATGCACCGGGGATGTAAGCCATCTAAGTTCTCCTAATCCATGGTGGCATCTCCATTTATATATATAAATTTTTAGTATAATAATTGATATTGATTTATTAATAGATTAATTTGGATCGTGTGTTATAGAGACGAAGACGATCTTCTCAACTAAGTTTATTTTATTTACAAACGTCAAGATTCGAACATCTGATCTTATTAAAAAAATTAATACCTCATTTTACTAGATCTATCGATAGTTGTTCCATTTATATATATTTTATTGGCCATTCAGGATAAAAGATAGCATCTACCTCCACCCTAAAGTGCAGCAACTGTCAGGTGCTGCTAGGGAAGGTTACGATTACGGATATGTATATTTTAATATGTAGGTTTCTAAATATATTAAAAAAATAATTATATTAGTATTAGATATATATACATATTCAACACTTACATTTAATGTTAAATGACACAGGTGAAGGATAGATGCCCTTTGGCCTTAACTGATAGTTAGCAATGAGCCTATTCATGAAAATATGATTAATTAAGGCTCAGAAGTCAAAACCATAGATATACGTTCATAGGTACTTTTTTTTAAGGAAGAAGGAAATTATGTAAGATCTTATATTAACTAAAACTTTATTATAAACAAAATATTTTATTATTACACTATCAACTCGTTTGACATCATCAGGTCTGTAGCATAATTTGATAGCTATGAAAATGTTTAGATGCTTTTAGGTTATTGATAAATGAGCTCAGTGGATATAGGTTCGATCCATAAGATTTTATATCATTCTCATGATACCCCATTTCTCTGCTCAATTTTTTGACAAATGTATGAGATGCTAAACTTATCTTCCCAAAAGCAATGCTTATATACATCCACAAAGAAATATACATGTATCTTCCCAAAAGCAATGCTAACATATTTTCTTATATTTTTATATTTTCCCAATGTGATCATTCTTTTTTTTGAATATTCCGGGATTCATTTTTTTTAATTAATTAACAACACATGTATCTTATAGTTGCAGCTACTCGAACTCGTGAGCTTTAGGGAGAACAACGTATCTTTTTACTGATGTGAGCAAAGATTGGTAAAGAAAAGGAATTAAGAATTATTTTGTGATTTTAGGACCAAAATGTGATGATTATTCAGTAACAATGAATACAACTACAATGTGTGTCATCTACAAAGTGTATGGGAATGAGAAGAGTATAATGAATATAAGGTCAGGTTTTGGGGTATGGCGCTGTATCTAATGAGAAGTTGTATTTAGTGCCTTGAAGTATGCCCTTTCGGCCCTTGAAAACCGCGTCTGGAACATACTCCATTCCTTTTGACATCTCTCCCTTACCTGCCAATTTCACAATGCCATTAATTTCAACTTAATTTCACAATCCACAAAACAAGGGAAAACGGAAGACGGCAGATACTGCATACTTACCCCTTGCCACGGTGCCTTCCCGTTTTCCGACTCTCCCTGCCCAAAAACAAAATTAACCCCAAAATTCGAGGGGGGGGGGGAAGAGGAAAATTGGCAGACAAAGGAAAGTTTTCATTACCTGGTTCCCAAGAGAGGGAACAGATTGATGAACAATCCACTGAGCATCCACCACGCCAATCTTCTCATGGGCAGGCTGTTTTCAAGATATACAGATATCCATACTTGGTGAACAAATGAATCCTTTTTAAAGAGTTCAGGGAAGGGAACTATCATGACCGGTCGATAAATAGGGTACTCGCGTATTCTCGTGTCACTTCATTTCGCAATTCCATTTGATCTAATGAGAACGAGATCAAATAAGAGTACTGATTCATCGACGGGCCGTGACAGGATGGATTCAAGGACGATAGATGATAAACGACAGAGACAGGAGCAATAGAATGCTAACCTCTACGCATTTTCTGAGGGCGAAATCAAGACCCCACCCATGGACCAAGTCATTCTACAAGAAAAACAGTAGATTGAGAAATACCAAGAAAACAATGGAAGAAGCAGCAATGTTAAAATGAACAAAATAAGAACAACCTCAGTACCTGAATCATATGCCATACACATCGCCATGCATCACGTGAGAACACAGGAGCCATTATCTCCACAAACCTAAATTTACAAAAGAAAAAGAATAGTTAATATTTACTAAGCTTATGGAGAATTAAAGCATGATATATTAACAACAATGCTCAAAGCTATACATACGCTGCACACGGAGGAACGTGTGGATGATTGCACCAGCCTGGTTTCTCCTCTGTTTCTCTGAACCAAAATTCGAAAATGGAAAAAGTTATTCAACATTCAATGAATTATGTAGACTTCAATGATTCCTGGTATAATTGCCAACAGTTTCTTACTTGTGAACTTCACGATCACCTCTCCTCTTTGTCATTTGCCAGGTTAACCCTTTATTCGGTTCCAAACCAGGCTGTGAAATATCCAGTCCATGCTTCCTCACCAGTTTAATGTATCTGTAAAATTAAATAAATAGAACCTTGTTTTAAGGTCTTCTTTGTAAAGGAAATGGGTTGAAGTTGAACAAACAATTTGTTAAGAAGTCCCGCAACGTCCAACTCACTCTTCTGCATTGAAATGCTCAACCCCCAAGTCCTCATCCCAGATGAATATGTAGTCATATGGTGCCACGATGTCAGGGTGCAAAAACCTCTTGGCATACCACCTAGGTAAATAAAATATTTAGAGTTAAATCTTTAAAATCATTAAGCAACACAGATAACTAGCATTGCACCCAATCCTGCCAGCAAAATGACTTGAATTTGAAAGTCTAAATTAACTGCATACCATTTAGTCTGCCTGCGAACACTCACATGTATTGCCTCCTTTGACCACTCAAACTCATCCCATTCAGTTGTTCGACCGTCATAATGAAAGAGAAGAATGGTAAAATTCCCTGAAAACTGTTTTGAAGCATTTTTTTAGTCACAACATGCAATGTGCACTGCACAATCATATGGGCATCAGAAAACCCCATCCCCATCTGAGCATCCTAACTATCTTCCAGAAATGCCTCCAAAAAGATGTGCATAAGGATGCACCTTCACACAAGCACTCAGACACAGACTGATGTACACTTAATGCGCACACACATATAAAGAGAATAATACCTTTTTAACTGCAGCATCAATATTCTTCCGTTGATTATAACCAACAGTAAATGTGACAAGATACTTTGGCGTGCTGGTCAAGTCCTGTAGATGCCAATGTTTTCCAAACCGCAATCAGGGTAAGAGAAAACTCACAAATACAATATGTTTTATTCTTATCTATACAATTCTTTCTTAAATCTATGGACTTGCACAAGTATAATGGTTTTTATCATGTGAATTGAGATGAACAATGCAAAAAACAAAAAACCTAGTTTCCCATAAAGTATTTCACTAATCCCCTTTTTCCTGCTTTTCAGGCTAGACAACAGAGGGTAATTTCATATATCCAAATTAACTCGCTAAGAACCAAGATATATCACCACTATTTCCACATCTAGTCTGCTGTTGCAGTTTTACTTTAGCATTTGCCCTGGAACAAGAGCAATAATATTTGGAACAAGAGATGGTTCCAACAATTTTAGAAGCGATATTTTATTTATAAAATTTATTCAATCAAAACCAATGCAATTTATTTGTACATACCAGAGATAAACATATTCATGAATGCATTAGAAAGTTGAAAAAGTATTCAGGGTTCAAATAATAATCAACAAAAGGTTCCAAGTAAACACACCTCATCAGGCTTGCCCCACAATCGGCGTAGGTATAAGTCTGACTCAGCTGTAACAATTCCTGGTGGTAATCTTTCCGCACCTCGAGGATTTGATGGGACCCAAATCTGTACCAGTCATAAAAGAAGCAGAAAAACATGGCATATTAGAGTAGCACCATATTATTAATCAGGTCCTAGAAAATCGCCAAACATAAAAGTGACATCATTTAGGAATACGAAGATAGTAAAAGATTAATTTAATGATGCATCTGGATATGTGATGTGAGCAATTGTTTCATACATAGACCATAAATGCACGTCCATTCAATTATAGAAACATGCTGGGCTATGAATGAGCAATGGGCGCCATTTTTTTTTCAATGTAGTGTTTATTCAATTTCCCGGTGCATTTATACTAGAGATAAACCAAGGGAACCCTATATGTATTACCGTGAGAACTATCAGGATCAATTTTGTATAAAATGAAACAGAAAATGTCCCTACGTTCAGTAGCTTGAATGGCATAAGAACCACACTATCCTTGTTTCCCGAGGAAAAAATCACACTTCCTCATCAAGATTTCAAAAAATGCCTACAGTCTACGATGCAAGAGAAGTATCTAGACATGAATAGATAAATTGGTGTAGAATACAAAAACTGCATGAAGAAAACTATCCAATTATTTATGTTATCCCTTCACAAACCAAAACTTTGGTAAACAAAATACAAGACCGATCAGGTATTGAAACTTTACAGGACAATAGTTTCCCCAGGGAAAAAGAACACCTGAAACCTACTGTGAAAAACTATCTAAAACCTTATTCCGCAAATTTGATTTACTAACATTAAGCTTTTATTCAAATTAAGTATTAAGATTTTTTGGTTCAATGAATATCTATCTCCAAATCCTGTAGAAATACCTTCTTTGATGTGGCATTAGCAGAACTTCTATTATTATCAAGTGGATGCTGCAAAGGAATTGGGCTTGAGAGGCTAGGCTTTGTATACTCAGTGTATTTGATATCGATGGTCGTATGAATGCCGGATGATAGATTGAACTGTCAAACGCAAAAGTTCCATCACTCAGATCAGAAAGATCATTATTCTAGATGCAGAACAATGAATATAAAATCAAAAAGGGGAAATAGTTTGCTTACCTTTGTTAATGACAAAGCTGGGAAAGATAATCCTACTAAGAAGCCAACAACTACTCCAACAAATGTTGTCACAATAAGCCTCATGCTCTCATTTGGCTTTCTACTAACCGTACTGCAGTCACCAAGATGGAATAAAAGTTAAATTACTTCCGCATCAAAGTAAACTTTTCTAAACATAATTAGACAAGATACGAAGGGGACCATAAGATGTGAACCTGCGTGTAAAGATTCCCATTCTACTCAAATTCATCTGATTGTATATTCACAACAAACTATGGTCAATTCAGATTACAAGAGCCTTTGAGCATTATTGAGCAGGCCTTCAGTTGCCCATTCTCAAAACAAAGAGAAATCGTCAGCACAAAGACCTGAAGACCAAATTTTTTTATTAAAAGCAAAACAAATGGTTACAGATAAAATCAACCAAGATGGGCACTAACAAGAACTGAGATTCAAACAGCAATTTCATGGGCATGGCATCTAACTCTCATCTGATATCTTAGTTCAATCAAATTTACCAGTTTATACAAAATGCAGACAGCAAAAGACAAGCTAATGAGACCTTTAACACTTGCTCCAAGGATTTTATTATATAGTAAAAAAAAAAGAAAGAATCCCCATAAGAAGCTACTGAATAGCACCTAAGAACTCCTTCCACATAAACCTCAACTAGTAACACCACAAGTAAGACCATGTGCTACCCACTTGACAAAAGATCACGGTCAACAGACAAACACAACGCCAGAGAAATTCCAATTATAAATTCAATAACTCCATAATCATGCAAACATGTGCTTTTCTTTTCTACTGATGTCCTATAATTATAAAATTAAAAAGCTTCTATATCGATAATTTTTATTTTTATTTTAACAGCATGCACCGTGTTCGCTTAGGTTGAAAGATACAGACCGGAAACACCAAAAACATAAACCGGTTTTATTCCTTTAAAAAATCTTAGATTCAACCACCTTTTCGATTACTTTTTATTTTTTACCAATAAAAATCAATGACAACAGAAAAAGAAAAGCAAGAAAGCAAGAGACTGAAAATCTAAACGATTCAAAGATTAAAAAACCAACTCAAAAAAGGATTAAATAACATAATGCTAATAAAGGCTGCTGCAGGTGAGCCGATGTTTTTTCTCGAGAAACAAACGGAAAAACTAAACTAAACAAAAGATTAAAAAGAAGTTAAAAGTATTTACTTACCTGAAAGAAAAGATGATTGAGAACAACTGAAGAAGATCTGATGGAAACTGAAAGTGTATTTATAAGGGCTCTAAAATCACGAGAAAAATCACCTTCGCATTTTTAACTGAAAATATGAAAAGAAACAAGTTTATGCTTCTCTCTTAAGTCTTGAGAGCACAAACTTACTGATCGCCTTCCTGAGATAGAAAGAAAGAAGATAATAGAAAACGTGAACCTGATCAGAAGGATATCAGTTTCCCGGGAAAAAAATCAAAAAGAGATTGATATTCTCTTTTTGCCGGATTTCATAGAATCTGGGTAAAAGATTTTAGAAAAAAAGATTTTAGAAAAAAAGAATTTATAGTGTTTTTAGGAGCAGAAAATGAAATTTATTTCAAGTCTAAATAGAAAGGTAAAACAAACATGTACATAAATTTGAATTTAATTCACAATGGATTTTGTGGTGGAGGATGCTGTTTGATTTTGACATTTAATTCTTTTGGACCCCCACCTGAAGCTTCCTAGATTTCCTGTTAACTAACCTTTTCAACCACCTTAAATACTCTACATTCTAGACGATTTTACCCAAAAATAACCCGGACAGAAAAAAATTATCTGTCAAGCACCGTTTTGTCAAATTTTATCGATCTAGCATCGTTCGAGTTGGACCATCCGTGCCTTATCCGAGCTGGCATCACGTCAGGAAAGACACGGATCGCAATCCGCGTCTTTATGGGAATTCTGACACGTGCCTGTAAGGCACGGATCTCCAATTAATTTTCAACCATTCACACCTCCCACATTAATTATCCCATTCGGCCAAACACTCATCTCTCCCTTCTTCATTTAAACACACACCAAATACTCAAATCCTCTCAAAGCCCAAACCCAGTAAAATTCAATTAAGAATGTAAAATATTTTACTATATTATAATAAATTGTTTATTTATTATTTTATTAAATTGTATTATGTTATTTTTTATTATTTTTTGAAGTTATAAAATGGAAGTTAGTCTGCTACGTTTAGATGGACATCATATCTTGAGACATTTTGATGATACAATAACAATTTTAAAATCTATTTTAATTTTAATTATTGTTAAAATTTTATTTATTTATTTTTTTAATATTAGTTTATATTTTAATTTCTATAATATTAATTAAATTAGGTGAGAGACCGCATATTAGATCCCTTCATTCGTAATCTTAAGTTAGAGACATCAACCCTTGTATGGTCATATTTAGTCGAGGTTGGATTCAATTACGTAGCAAGATACGAATGGCACTATAACTTAGAATCTAACCTGATTTCTGCATTGGTCGAGCGGTGGAGACCGGAGACACACACATTCCATCTTCCATGCGGAGAGTGCACAATTACGCTGGATGATGTTTCCATGCATTTGGGACTTCCGGTAGATAGAGATGTGCTTTCTGGGGTGGCGCACGGTGATTGACATTCATATTGCCAGGAGTATCTTGGAGGTGTCCCACTTAATTTCAATGGTGGTCGAATTCTGTTAAATTGGTTTGATGTAACTTTCAAGCATTTGAGTCGTGATGCCTCGGAGGAGCATGTTAAAATGTATGCACGGGCTTGCATACTACAGTTGATAGGAGGGCTCCTGATGCTGGACAAATCGCGCAACCAAGTTCACTGTATGTGGTTGCGTCACCTCACCGATTTTTATCAGGCTGGCAGACTGAGTTGGGGCTCGATAATTTTGGCATTTCTCTATAGGGAAATATGTCGAGCTACTGACTATAAAAAAATGTTATTAGCGGATGTCTCATTCTGATGCAGTATTGGGCGTAGTATCTTTTGAGTTAATCAATTGATGGAATCGGCTAAGAGGGGGGTGAATTGAAAATAAAAATTTCGGTGGAAACTTTTGTAGAAAATTGAAAATATTTGTACAACGATTTAAAGTGGTTTGACTTTCTCAACCAAAGTCTACGTCCACTACCTTAGTTATCCACACTAAGGATTTTCCATAAATTCACTAATTTGTCTTTCTTTTGAGGACAAAGAGTAACCTTACAAATCTCTCAAGAATTATACCCCAAATTCTTGAGAACACTTTCTCTCAAAGAGAACAATACAAATTTTGCAAACTTACAAGAAAATCCTCACAAGGAAAGATGTTTGCACAATTCTAGAACAAAGAAAGAACACTCAAGAATAATACAATTGAGCACAATAAGTGTTCTTGAAAGCAAAAATGAATATTGAATGGAATAGGCTTGAAAATGCTCAAACTTGAGGTTTGATGCTTTCTCTTTGATTTTCTCTTGATTCTTGATAATTATTGTTGATCAATGGCTTCTAAGCTTGTTTAAATACTCCTTAGATCATTTCTGAACGTTGAGAATCATTAGTGGAGTTAATAGAGCCGTTATTGTGTGAAAATAATAAATAAAACAACTTGGAGTGTTAGGGGGTATCGGTACCCCTGCATAGGGTATCGATACCCTGCTGTGTAAAATTCATTTTGACCGTTATGAGATGGGGGTATCGGTAACTCTTGGGAGGTATCGGTACCCTTCGAGCAATCTGTTATTTCTCGGAGCTAAATCTTGCATGGGGGGTATCGGTACCCTCTTGGGGGGTATCGATACCCTCTGGGCAATCTGGTTTTTCAGTTTAAGATTTATTAAGAAAATATTTTTGGCTCGATTAAAGGCTCGAAATACTTTGTAAAATTGTTTAAAGGATTAAAACACACTTTTACATTTGAGTAAGGATTGAATTTGACATTTGAAAGACTTGGAGTAATATTTTGATATTCGAATAGTTTGATCGAATATATATTTGAAAATGATTAGAAAATCTTGGAATCCAATAACATTTAATTTTTATATCGAAATATCAAAATGTTTTCAACAATCTCCCCCTTTTTGATGTAACAAAACATTTTAGTAATTTTAAGATTTTCTAATTGAAAAATATTTTTGAAATCAAGTTTTGAAAAATTACTCCCCCTTACTCTTAACACTTCTCCCCCTTTTTGTTAAATAAAAAAGATTTTAAAACTTTTTTAATCAAGGGTTTTTGAAGTCAAGTCAATTGATAGAATAATAAAGCGTAAGCTGTTAAGATCACAATCAAGAGAAATGTTAGCCATTAGTTCCATAATTCAATATTCATAAATGAATGTGAAATGACAAAATTGGTCATATAACTAAAATGATGTAAATAATGCATAGACTTAAACCAAACCAAATAAATATAAGCATTCAATCCAAACACATCAAAATGTTTAACAATTCAAAGTTCTAAATCTGAAGTTCTAAATCGAAAGTAGGCAAGGTCTACTCTATTGGAGGATCAGGGGGAGATAGATGTGTCCATATATTGGCTACATCTCGTGTAAGCGCTTCAAGTCTATCGTCTATAACATTGAATCGATTATCCATTGCTTCACGATTAGCCCAAATCTCTTGTTGATTCTCTAATTGTTGAGTCCACATAGCAGATAAATGAGACTCCATGGATGTAAACCGTGAATCTATTGATGCATACCGGAAGTCGAATGTCTCCATAAAAAATCAAAAATATGGAGGCATTTGATCCTCTTGTTGTGATTGTTCCTCGTGTTGCTCCGGCTCATTGTCGGGAACTTCGTCAATGCCTTGCATCAGCTGTTGAAGTTTGGGATCGTCGTCCACTCCCGGTACCGATGGAGCTCTTGAAGAACTAGCTCCCTCTGTATGTTCAGCAGATTGAACCCATTGCCTGGTTTGCTTATCCTTTATCCATTCCGATTTTGTTAGGAAAAGAGGTTAATTTGATTTTTGAGAGGGATTGCGACATCAAGGCTTACCCTAAGCTCGGCTTTGGAAAATAGATTACTTAGAATACAACCGTAAACTAGAGATGAACAGAGTTTCTTATTAGGAGCAAGGTTTACGATTTCAACAATTTCAGAAAAGATAATATGAGGTAGGTTTATTTTATTATTATTTTGGATACAATGTATCCACCAAAGATCTAGGGCTCTAAGAGTGGAGTATTTTCCTCCGGATGGTCGAAACCACCAAGAGATCATCAGATGAAGAAAACGATCATGGAGATCTAATACACTCGCACTCTCTTTTCTTTTATAAGAAGTACCTACCATTTGTTTTTCATTGTCTAAGTCGTCATTATCTAGTCCAAATGCACTAGCTATGTATTCCGGGTCAATATAGATGAATTTTCCTAGAAGATAGAATCTAATTCCTAAGGTTGCGGTTTTATCTCGGTTTTGGACACAAATGGCATTGAAATAGAAGATTCGAACAAGTTGATGACAAACTATTGGTTCGAGTTCAAAAAGTTTATCAAATTTCCACTCTCGTAGGATATGAAGATATCTAAAATCTATTTCTAACATAGCTTGAAGAGATGGGATTCATTCCTCCCGCATTTTGTATGACTCAAAATATTGTGAATACTTGAAGAAGAGATTTTGTCTACGACCAGGTTCATTGAAACACGAATCACGAATAGTCATATTAGGGTCATCGGGATTAGGAAATTGTTTGATAGGAGGTGGATTTAGAGGTGGGTTTGGCGGTTGGTTTATACGACTAGAGGATGTTCTAGGGCGTTTTTGAGACATGACTTAGGAAATCGAAATAGAAAATATTAACCTGCAATTTTAAAACACATGTATGTAATAACATCAATCCCAAAACTCAAATGAGTCCTCATTATTTCAAGGTTCTCTAAAATAATCCTAATGGGCAATTTTTGAAAAACGAATTTGAAAACAAGGTTTGAAAAATCAATATATAATTTTTCATGAAAACAACATAATTAAATCAAAATATACAATTTTTTTAAAATTTTGAAAATCTAAAAAAAATCTTGAAAAATCTTGTGTTTTTGATGAAATTAGTTGTAGATTATAGTTCTAAATCAAAATTTAAGCAATGCCCATTGTTTATTTCAACATAGAACTAATTAAAACTAACACTATGTTCAAAATCAATAAAATAGAGGGTTTAGAAAAATTACCTTGAAAAGTGAAGATTGAGTGATTTTGATTTTGTTTACATGAAATTAATGATGCTAGCAGGTTTAAGAGATGAAAACTAGGTGAAATCTGAGTTAATATCATTGTTTTCAAGCAATGTAGAGATTAGGAGGAAGATTATGGGTGAATGGCGAGAGAGAAGATGAGAAAAGGGTTTTGGCACACAAAAAATTCTGGGCGTTTAATAACCAGAACCCGTGGAGGGTATCGGTACCCTCAAGGGGGGTATCGG